GGCCTTGTGTTCAGGAGTCTCTGTTTCTGCGCAAGCTAGTGGCGGGCTGTGGTGGCTGTTTTCCTCCTCAATGAGCCTAGGTGGCTCGAATGCATGGGCAGACTCAAAGGATAATTAAAACATGTACCATTTAACAAGTGACAACAATCGAAACTTTAATTACTCAGCTTGAGTCTGGCGCCCCCTCCTTTGCCAAACTGGAGGTGGGGCCTGGGAAGGGGGGGCAGGGGAACAGAGGGTGAAACCTGATTGTGTTCATTAAGCAACACACCAACTTGGCACAGTAATAATAATTAAATTAATTATAAAAGCAATTTGCTTTTGAAAATTTGATTTGACGGCTTACGAGCTGCCTCACTGATCCAACAGCAAGGGCTTAAAATAGGCAGGATGCAAACCCACCCAGAAGAGTATCAGCTAATTTTAATGAGATGCCAGGACTGGTAAACAAAAGACCACGACACACGCTCATTGTACTTGACTTCAGCCTGGGGGGAGGAAGAAGATGCTAAGTGGAGGAAGGAAGCAAAGGCCTGACTTTGAGAAAGACGCAGATTCTGGGGTAATGAGTGAGGTGTAGACAGAAGAGACCAGCCTTCGTTTTTGAAAATGTGCAGTTTCTCCTTTCATGCATTAACACCTGCCTGTATAGGTGAGAGAGAGAAAGGCAGTAGCCTCATGGATAGAGAACTGGCCTGGGGCTTAGGAGACATGAGTCCCAGCTATGTTACTAATTTGCCATGGCTTTGTCTTCCCTGCAAAAAAGGACAAGCAAACTTGATGTACAGTCTTAGTGGAGACAAGACACAGGTTGTTTTTAACCTCAGTGCAGCTAGTTTAAGCCCCAGGTTGGAGGAGGAGCATAGGGTTGAGCTCAGCTCTGTACATTGGAATAAAAATGACAATGTCTTGTCTTGACAAAGGTTTTACACAGGGATAGCTATCAGTGGAATGCAGTGAAGGTTTAGCCTTTGTGCCCTGGGGCAAGTCACTTCCTTGCTTCTTCCCCTCCCACCATGTTTTATCTGCTTAGATTATGAGCTCTCTGGGGCAGCTCGACCCATGTGTCTGTGCAGCCCTGAAGACAACCAGGCACTGATCTCCACTGGATCATCCAGGCACAGCTGTGATGCAAATAATTAATAATAAGAGGTGATCAAAGCCACATACTCAAATGAAACACCTGTGTGCACAGGTGCTAATGCTTCCAAACGCCACACCCAGGCACTGGCACATGCAAAAAGAGTCCAGGCTGGGGCCCCTTTGAAAATCACTCCCGTCTTTTATAGTAGACAGATGGGCTGAAATACAGCCCTGTTCAGAAGACCAGCATAAGGTCAGTTCCCCCCTTAAACCTCGTTGTGGGGATGGAATTGTGACATAGCCCTTGTGCTGGCTCTCTGCACTGGAGTGAATTCCATCCATGGTGGATGGAGGAGAAAGATCCCGTAGGATGGTGGGAGGAATACCTATGCATCAAAACATTGGGTTAACCTAAAACCCTCCTCTTCCTCCTGGCTGGCAACTGACAGCAAAGAGTTAGGCCTTATGGAGACAGTAGGTCCCAATATAAAGATGTCCAAAATCCATGGGCCAGGAATGCAGATAGTTACTACCCACTCCTTACTCACCCACCACCATCAGATGGTCCAGGGCTCTGTTATGCTGCATGTAGGTGATGTGTGAGCTTTTCCTCCCAGGGAAAGCAGGGCCCGGTGCTATAGGATGTTTGTTGTTGATTTCCCCCACAGTGAGAGCAGTCATGTCAGCGCTGGTGTCCCGGAACACCTCGTGCTGCTTGGACATGTAAGGATTTCATTTCACAACATCTCAGGCGACCAGAACAATCTCATCACCTCCGTTTTTCACACCTTTGTTCTTTCATGTGTGTTTGTGTCTGAGAGAGAGAGAGAGACTTCATCTTCTCTCCCTCTTCCTCCCCCTCCAGCCCCAAATGCTTCCATCTCAGAGTAAAAAAAGAAAAAAGGGAAACATTCAAAAGCAGGAACTGGATCCAGCTCTGCAAAGGGCGCCACTGAGTGACAAGGGCTGTAGGTTCCTAGTGCTTGTGCTGATGCTGTTCGTCCCTGGGGAGCTGTCCAGCACAGGGACCTCCTGAAGGACAGCTGCGCTAGTTCAGTGCTGGGCAGGATCTGCACATGTCAAAGAAATGGAGAGGACAGGCCCAGCACCTTCCCCTCCATGCAAACAGCACACTTAGAAAGCCCTGGAGATACAGCAGAAATAGCAGGCACTAACGAATCTATAGGGGTCCGGGTGCAGGAACTGAGTTTTGCAGTGTCTTTTAGGCATGCAGTGAAAACTAACCCTAGCACCAGTGTGTGTGTGTGTACATGCATGCATGTGCACACACTCTCTAGTCAAACCAGAACCCAGACACACACACACACATTCCAACTCCGCATGAGGTGCAGAGGAAATCAATATAATACAATATACGATCGGCACAGGGTGATTTCCAGTGGAGTTGAGATTAGTTTGGCTCCTGCTAGCTTAGCCCGTGAGAGCAGCTGCCTGTGAACCGTGACTGAGGGCCCTCGCCTGGGTTTTAACTGGAGCAGCAGTTTGTTGTTGGGGGCGGGGAGTGGAGGGCAGAACAGTGGCTCTGATAGCCGGGGGCCTGTTTGCAGTGTTCAAGCTGCTGATGGTGCCACTGACTTTTAGAATAAACCCAATGCTTCGATGGGTTGAGAGGCTGGGCCTGAATCCCTTAGCCATATTGGGCTCCACAGCTGTCTTTGGGTCCTTGGTGCTCCCTGGGCAGGGAATGGAGTGAGAAAGGGGGAGCCATCACATTTATTTTAATTCATTTCCTCTATTAATCCCAAGAACAATAATTAGCCTCAGGCCCCTCCCCAGGCCAGCTGATTGTGAAGATAATTAATCCCCAAGAAGCATCCTGGCTCTCTGGCCTTGTTGCTTGTTTAGGTCCGTTCAGGTTTCTCACAGTCTGGTAGTGCATATCTGCCTGTTCAAACATTCTGGGTAAACAAGGCTCTGAGCATCAGCCAGCGTGTGCCAGGCTCTCTTGCTGTCCTATCAGAGACACTCAGGCCAATGCAAACTGTCCTACGCAGAAGCTGCTAACAATGCCTGTTGCCCGCAGGGATCTTTGTATTTTTTTTCATACAGGGTACACCACTACTTCTGAGTTACAGAAACAATTTGATCTCTAAATATGCCACACCTTTTTTTTTCTTTGGATCCCTCGAGAGCTGGTTAACATTTTGTCATTGAAACTTTTTTGGGGAGGTAGGGGAACAAAAATGGCTTTTGGACCAAAACAGACGTTTATTTTGGTCCAAATGTTTCAGTCTTTTTACTATAAAAACCAAAATATGTCAAATTTTTCTCCTCTCTCCCTCCCTATTCCAGGGGAAAGGAGCAAGGAAGGGGAAGGGGAAAGGAATAAAGGTAGAGAAAGGTGAAAAGGAATTTTTCCCAATTTTTATTCAATCAGAAAACTGAACAATTGCATAAAAATGAAAAAAAATTGTGCATTTTGTTTTACATGTTTTGTGGAAAATGTCTAGCATATTTTGATCCACTCAAGATCTCACACACCCCACAGGCTCACTGTTTTCCACTGCATCAAGCACACATTGTTATGATTACTATTATTTATCTTAGTGGAGCATCTGGAGGCCAGATCAGGTCCCAAAGTGCTAGGTGCTGCACAATAAACAAATATCCTTGCCTTGAAGCACTTCCAGGTGTGGGGTGGCTGGGAATCTGGAGGGAGCCCTGAGGAAAGTGAACGCACACTCACGCCAGCACTGATCACACCTGTGTTGCCCTGGCTTCTCTGCAGAAAGGCACAAGGATGTTCCTGAATCACTCTGGGGATGTTCCTTGCTTTGCCTCTCTGCAGCATGGGAATCTGTTTCCCACAAACACCAGAGAAAAGCACAACTTCTATTTTTTCCGTATTGAAAAGGAAGCTCAATGTGTTTGTCTGAAAAGTCTATTTTTATCCCTTCCCATGTTGTTTCCTTTAGCTGCAGTCCCTTCCCTCAGTTTCACTCCTTGACCATTATCTTCTCTGCTGGCTGCAGTTTTTAGCTGACCTGAGGGGGATGATCCTTTCATTCTCCCGGCTGTGACCTCTCTTCTTGGTATGGACATGCAAATCCTACCTACCTGTCTGGGCCTGCCTGACCTCTCACCTGCTGGATAGCTGCAGCCTGTGGAGTGTATTCTGCAGACAAGCCATTGTCTTCCCAGCACTGGAACTTTCTCAGGGCATTGAGGGCACCATGCTGTGCAATTGTTACTCCTTTTTCTCAGTCTCACACACATAAAACACCCATCCACACAACACTTACGATGCACTAAGAGTGAAATTCACTCCTATGCACAAGAGCCAGAGCAGGTTTACATACCCCTCAAGGCCTGCTGAAACCCTAAACATAGGGCTTAAGTGTGGCCCAGGTCTTGTACTGCCCAGATGTTTGGGGACTGGCTGTTCTTCATGGCATGACTCTTATTTGCACCCCAACAAGGCAACTTGTGAATTAACAGGGCAGCATTTGCTATTCGTAATCTGCTCTTCAGCTTTCCTTGTTCTTAATTCTCATCTGGGGGGTGAAAGGAGCCACAGTCTTTCAATCAAGATGCAGATATAAGGCCATGTGACTTAAGCGACCAATGACATATCAGGAATAATAAGTAGTGAATAGGCTGAAACTTGTTTGCATAAACTGGCCGAACACCCGTGAACGTTGCCCATTGAGTTCAGGGGGCTTTCTATGAATCTGTAGAAACCAGGTTTGACTATTGAAAGCAAGAAAGGGTTAGAGTCATTATATGGATTATTCACTACAAACAATTGTCTGGCTCTACCTATAAATGCTACTTTCCTGGCTGTCGCTGCTCCCGTGCCCCGAGTGTCCCTAAACTTCTGACTGACAAAAGTTGTGACTGGAGAAAAGGGGCTGGTTCACATTATAATTGCCCTGTTTTGTTCTTTCTCTCTGAAGCGTGTGGCAGTGGCCATCGTCAGAAGACAGGATTCTGGGCTAGATGGACCATTGGTCTGATCCGGTATGGCCATTCTTAGGTATGTCCCTCTTTCTAGAATTGGTCAGAACATGCTTTATATTTCATTTAAACTTATGATTTTTTTTTGTTGATCCCCATAACAATTCAGCTAAAATCTATCAAAATATGGAAAATGTTGGCCCTAAAGTACCAATAAAATAACAAAATTGGCTGAATATTTATATATAAAAAAAGTCTGCAAATATTTCAAGGCAAGCAGACCCTTCCCAACAACATTTTTCTTTCCTTGAAAATGCAATTTTCCATCAAAAAAAAGTTTCAGCTGAAATGTTTGAGCAACCCCACTGCTGTGGCCATTGATGAAATGCCCCCGTTCTCCTTTCATCAGTGTGTTTTGCTCATCTCCAGCCAAAATGTCCATCACACCATCTGATTTTGATTATAAAATTTTTGCAAGGATGGTTTTGCAGACAGGCAGACGGGTGAGTACATGGTAGCACCTCCCAGAACATGCACATGAAGTGAGAAGCTGTCATTTCCCCCCCATTGCCCTCTGACACTGGCATTCCATTTCCATTTAAGGGGGGGGGGGAATTGCAGCTGAAATCTTTGATAATTGTCCCAGGCATTGTTCCCAAATTGCCTCTGATTGCCACGCTGGAGCTGCTGGGGCTGCATTTTTATAACCTGCTGGGTTGTATTTTGCTATTTTTAATATTTTTTTATGATGGAGATTGCTTATTGCCATGCAAAGTAGGTCAGAACCTTAGTGGAGAGCTTTTCATATACTCTGCTTTTTGAAGCTGTGAAGTGCTATGATCCTTCTGTCTCCTCTTCCTTCCCCCCCCGCCCCACTCCTTTCTCCAAAAGCACACTGACATCCAACGACTTTAAACCACTGGGTTTGAACAGCAAATTATAAGTTAAATTATAAATAATGCCCAGCTTTGTAGGGCTCTGCCTATTACGCCAGACTTGGAGAGACTCACCCAGTCTGTCTCGCAGCCAGGCCAATGCAGTCATTATGACTACAGGGTGCCTGGCCGCATTGATCGGCTTGAAAAATGCATGAGTTTGCGCCCTTGTCAAGCAGCGTCTGAAGCAGCGGTTTCAACAAAACGGAGCCGGAACTGAGCAATGACTGCAGTCTGGGTAGCCGTGATATCCCTGACTTGGGGGGCAGGGTGGGGAGCAGCTAGCTCAACAGAACACAATTACATTATATCCAGGGTGCAAAGAGGTCTCTGGGAACAACCTAGGGACTGCGAAGAGACGAGATCTCCTTTGATGGGGATGTAAACAAGCTCTTATTAGGAGGTCAGGTGCACAGGCAATCAGACCGTGCTGATGAGCATAGTATAGAGAGCTCATATTGTAATAGACAGGGAAAGAATATATGGCAGTAGATAAGGAGAGAAAGAGAGAAAAAGCTTATGTGATGCTAGATAGATATTTTGATACTGTGGTTTTTATGGTGATAGATAGACATTGGGTTATGTATGATGATAGATAGATCACTAGTATCGTACTGTGCTGCTATATAATAATTGTATGATACCAACATTGTTTTTCTGTTTTAATTTCATAATTTTATCAAGAAAAAAAGCATATCAGACCCTTCATTTCAGGAATTCTGAGCCCGGTTAATAACACATAGCTTCAATTTTAGAGAGCAACTTTCTCCCCAAGGCACCCTAAGCTATTTCTCTCATCACAAGCAGGGCCGGCTCCAGGCACCAGGCAACCAAGCACATGCTTGGGGCGGCACCTGGTAAGGGGCAGCCAATCTTGGGGTGGCGGGGGGGCAGCGCGGCGCAGCATGGCATTCCATGGGGGGGGGCGCTCTGGCGG